CACACACACACACACACACACACACACACACACACACACACACACACACAGCATGTCAGGATCTGAGCCTTTTTACTATCTTCGTCTCTTCCTCTTTCTGATTCAGTTTCAATATATTCTTTTTAACATGTCTTCAACACCCACAGAAATAAACGTGATCTCTTACATCATAGAGAAACCAGTCTTGTGTGATAAAATCTGTGAACCTGAACGGCGCACGCTACACCTCATGTTGTTGTTTTCTAATCTGCAGATCGTTCTGCTGTTGTGCTGTAGTGTCCAGAGGAAGTCCTCGCTCTGCCAGCCTCCACTTTCTGCTCTTTTAAGATTAGCTCACTCTTTCCTTAATACAGCTCCTCTCACTTCATTTGTCACGCYGCGATGTGTTTGTGAGCCAGGTGAAGGCTCGGATCCAAGCAGACATCTGTAAATACGAGACCTGTGATAGTTCGGGGCCGACAGGCCCTGACACCTGACTGTCCTTTATGCTGATCGTCGCTGTCAGGCTGATGAGTGGACCACTCAATAATCGTGTCCGGTGATGTGCATTTATGAATTTTTCATGAGTGTGTTTGCTGCTTTGGGTCTTTGTTTGTTCTTCTTGTGGTTTGTGCGCTTTTAAAGGTGTTTGCGTGACTGGGTGTTTCGGTGGCTAATGAGGTCATGGCTGYAGCGGGCGGGGTAAATGGGTGGAGGTGGGGCTAATTCCAGCTGTAATTACCATTAGTGGGTCAGTATGACGGTGGAAGACAGAGGTTACTTTAACCACATTCTTACCTCACCGTTGGGCAGATGGATGGGTGTTTTAGTTGTGAAGTGCATCTCTGAGGGTGTAAAAATGCAGGGACACTTAATAAAACGTGTGTGCAGACGCTCCCGGGGTCTTAAGATGTGTCGGCCAGCTCCCTTGAGGAAACGGACACGTGTGCGCTCATGTGTGTGATTTGCTATTAGGGTCAGCACTCTGTTCGACAGAGCCCCACGCCCTCCACCCTGTCTGCGATGGAGCTGACCTACTCACTATCTTGCCGAGACATAAACACACACAAACACACACACTGAAGAGACCGGTTGTGTTGTTAAACGGGCGCATTCACTTCCTAAAGTCTAGTTTGCTGAAGTTTCAGTCAACGGGAGTATTTAACCTCCTGAAAATTCTTCTTCCCACTCTCCTCAGGTATGAACCATGAGTCCAATAAATCACCATCATTAGGAATGATCTCCACGGCGACTCGCACCACAGCTACAGTCGGTCCCCTCAGCCCATTGACCAATGGGAACGCGGTTGCCCAGTCTGCAAACTCCGGATTCGCTGCTGCYCTGCGTAAACTGGCCAAACAGGCCGAAGACCCCAGAGGTGAGTGGCCTCCTGACCGTCTCTGAGGGTTAAAACACACTCCAAACACACTAAACGGGCRGCCATCTTTTAAAGAGACAGTTCAGATCTTTTGAAACGTTATGAGTAATCAATGTCTTACCTGTTGWAGATTGTTRTATGRCAACTCCATCATTTCACAGCAGTTCAGGCAAACCTTCACATCGCTGAGAAGTGTATTATGTAAAGATTTCAGAAGGATTGCTAAAATATTCCTGCAGGATTGAAGTTGCATTAAGATGGCAGCAATATTTGGTCTCYGCTCCGCTCGGACTAGCCTCTAGCTCATCTGTTTTGTCAGATTTAAACTCCAGACTGAGGCTGTTTAAAAAGCCATCTACGACACAGGARTCATTAGAGCTGCAGTAGCTCAGTGGTCAGCGCTGTGGTCTTGTAGTCCTGAGGCTGCAGGTGGGAGCTCAGGTTGCGTCAGGAAGGGCATCTGGTGCAAAATCGCCAAATCTTTTGTGAGGGTTTGCTTGAAGAAGGGAGCAGTGAAAGACAGAAAAACAACCAGCAAGCCAAGGCTCCGTCACACTATAAAGTTTCAGACAACTTATTCTGGCGTAGGCAAATTTAGTCACTGAAGATCGCTCTGATCTAATGTCTCCTGATCAGTTTAAAACTTCGTCATACATGTATAAGTTCTGTATGGGCTAGAGACAGGATGGATAAGTTACTTGTATAAACATATTCAGCATAAGCCTGTGTGATAGGGCCTTCAATAGTTGTTTCTTTCTTTTCCATAGAACCCCACTTTAAAATGTTTGAACTCTTTAATACGTTCAAGATTCAAGAGTTTTATTGTCATATGCCCAGCATACAAGCAGTTACACTGTGCAATGAAATTCTTACTTTGCAGTTCCTCTATTTGCTGACAGTCCGAGATATTATAAATAAAGTACAATATACAAAAGTAGGGTGGACAGAATAATAGATATTTACAGTTTTTACATTATTTTGGACAGTAGCAGCAGAATTTATAGTGCAAAACAGACACTGTGTATGTAATACTGATTGTATTTTAAATATAAGGTTTAAGCCTTTGTTTTTTTTTTGTCTTAGCACATGGACTTGACAAAGGCATCAATCCTCTTATGTAACTCAGTTCTTCAAAGCTAATAAGCATATTTTCCAAACCTATCCCGTCAATACATGCGCCGACGGCTGAAAATAACTCGTCTCACAAAACCAAGGTTGTGTTTTTGTGCTTTAAAGGGAAACCCGAACGCCCGGTAGCTCYTTGGTCGCGTGTGTGAGTTTTCACTGGGCTCGCAGCTGTCTTAATGAAGGTGTTTGATAAGAGCTGACCAGTTCTGACCTCTCCCTCTCTGTCTCCTCCTCCATTCGTTTCCATTCATCTCCCAATTATATGAATCTAATTACGGCCRATTATAAGAAGCTTTCCGTCACCACTGTGTCTTCTCTTTCTGCAGCTCGACAAACTTTCTCCCCATCTTAGTATTTCCTCCTAATCCATCCTCTGCATCTGTTTGTGTGTTGTGTCAGTGAATGGTATACTCTCTTTTTACCACATTTAACACCTCCCTTCATGGAGTCACACCCCGTCCTCTTCCTATGACATCCTTCATTTGCTCTACGTCTGATTTTTGTCTTTTTCATGCAAACTCTCATCTTTCCCCTTTTCCTTCCTGTTTTATTTCAAACACAAGCGCTACTTATCAAAATCACATTCTAGCTCTTTAAATGTTTTTATCATTATTATTATTATTATTATTATTATTATTATTATTATTATTATTATTATTATTTTTAAATCTGATCAGTTTTGTTGCTTTATCTCCGTCAGGTTCTGCCATCAACGGTGAATCGTCTCCCGTCTCCTCCCCGGCCACCAATCACAGCTCGCCTGTCTCCACCCCCAAGCGGGGCTCATTAGGGCCCCTTTTGGGCCATAACAGGGGCCAGGGGGTACCAAGCACCCCTCCCGTAGTCACCATTGCTCCGACCAAGACCAGCAACGGCCTGTGGAGGGCTGAGGGACGGCAGGTAAGGGACGTCTGTTTGTCGAACACCTGCTGGCGTTGAGGACAGGTCAGAGGCGGGACCTCTGCTGTGATCTCTCCGTGCTCTTTGTCCATCGGTCCTCCTCCTCCTCCTCCTCCTCCTCCTCCTCCTCTTCCTCTGCCAAACAGATGAGCGGCCCGGCCTCTCTGCCTCCTTTCATTTTCTAGCTGATGCTCCCTCGTTTAAAGAAAGAGTGGGTCCCACCATTTCCATCTTCATCTATCCCTTCCTGCCTCCCTCCGTTTATTTTCCTGTTCTCGTTTTCATGACCCCCCCGGTCTTTTTCAGCGACACGAGGGGGTTTGTAAAAAGAAACGCAAGAGGCTGCAGAGGCTGGCACCTATTGTGATCCACTTCCTGTGGTGT